TAATATTCCTGAAAATCATCCTCACTATTCTCATGGCTACTAACTTATTGCTACTAAAGTTTCAAAGTGCATCATCACCTCATTTCCTGGCTGGAGGACATTCGGCTGGGGAGGCAAAATATAAGCAGATTAAACTTCAGTTTGAAAGTGCAGCTTTCAAAGGTGTAAAGAGCTCCGTAGTCCTAACGAAGACTGTTCCAAGCTTTGATATGGACAGCAGAGATCAGCTAGGAAAGAGGTAAATATCGGGTAGGCACAGTGGCATCACAAGGGGGGTGCGGCCCACACCCCGGTGACACTATTAGAGGGGTGACACCAAAATGGCTGACAGTCATTTTGGTGTCACCCCATCTGAAAAGTCGGGTACTGAGAGCCCGACAGTAGCAGGAGAGAGGAGGGGACCCGGCGGCATACCTCCCGACAGGTAAACGTCCCCTCCTCTCTCTGCCGGCGTCCATCACCAAGATGGCCGCTGGCAGGTATCAGCAAGTTGGCCGTGCATGCGCGATAATGTCATCGCGCACCTGCGTGATGAAGTCACGCGCATGCGCGATGACGTCATGGCGGGGTGTCACCCAGTATCCACTCCAGGTGACACCCAGCCTCGGGACGCCCCTGGGTAGACAACCTTGACACTCCAGCTGTTGTGGAACTACAAGTCCCATGAGGCATTGCAAGACTCTGAGAGCCACAGGCATGTATCCCAAATGCAGAGGCACAGCTGTTGTGCTAGGTGATGCTGGGCGTCCTCCATCCTGTAAATGAGTCGGGCTCTCTATGTGACACGCTGCAGCATCTAATCCTCCAGTTTCAGAAGCGCACTGGTCTGTGAGCAGACATGTACAGGCCCGTGTCTCCAGCAGACAGAGAGGAAGAATCTTCACTCTTCCGCAAACTCTAATCCGCTTCAAAGAGCAGAGGGGGAAAAAATTCCTGCTTTTCCTCCCTTGAAAAAGGGGGGGGGGGGGGGGGGGGGTCACTGCTGTTTGGACATAATTACCCTCCATCAAAAGAGCCTTTCTTCATCTACCATGCGTGAAAAACTTGCTAGCGGTTACGTCTGCCCCCCTTTTCCCTCTTTTGTTTTCCAAATATCAAAATCGCTGCTTGGGAAGCCGGCCAAAGCTGAGCCGGGACAGCGGCCGCGTGCGGAAGATCCTTTGTTTTTCTTTTAAGTCCCTAAGATAAATTGGGCTCATAAGCTTCATAAAAGAACACGCTTCCTTCTT